TAGTATGTGCTGTAATAGTTTTTAAATTGCTGCCCTCTTGTGATCAGAATTTAGAACCAAGAAGAACGGGAATGTGACACCCACCCATTTTATGTACAGGAATGTCTGGGTAACTTGCCATTGCAACTGTTGTGTGGGGTTCTGCATTAAAGAGCTAAGGGGAAGAGAAAGAAAGGATGCTTGTTCTGGAAAGATCTCACAAAGTTTTTATTTCTTTCCACTGTTCAGCCTGTTTCAGCATCAGCTGCACACATTTTGGGTGAAGTTTGCAGAGAAAAACAGGAAGCAGCTATACCTCTTGTCAGGCTTTTCTTACACTATGGCAGAATTGTGCCTTTCATAAGTGCCATTGCGAACGCTGAAGTGAAGAGAACTCAGTAAGTACCAAAAAGCAAATTGCTAAACATACCTATTCTGCGTTAGCTAATGTTAGGATCCTCTACTCGCTTTCTATAACTATGTAGTTTCAAAAGAAACTGTTGGAGTTTTTCCTGTTCCTTCCAGCTGAGTGGCAGAGTTCTTCATAAACACATTCATTGCTGTGAGGATCTGGTGCGTTTGATTTTGGGAGAAGTTCCCATCGTGTTTTGTGAAGTCTACTTGCAGGTCTATTGTAATGTCTGAGAGCAGGGATTTTTACTCTTCTCAGTCGTAATTATTTATTTCGTGATAACTGTGAAATCCTACATTACCTTCAGTTGTTCATATGAAAAAAATTCAGCTTTATAGTATGCTAATAAATCATCTAGTGCTGAGTAAAAGTGTTGATTGAATTTGTTCAAAACAAAAAGCAAGTTTCTTCTTAGTCATGAATATTTAAGGCAAGCTGTGTATCTACTCTTTCCAATTAGAGGGCTGAGGAACAGAGATGGGATGGGATCTGTCAGTGCATAGCAGAAAACAATTTTTTTTTTTCTGGTCACTTCTCATAAGTCCATTGTTTGACTTGCTGGTGTGCTGACAGTTTAGTAGTGTGAGATCTAGTGTTCCCACCAGGCAGGTCCTAAAGAACATTTGTTGCCACAAGCCTCGTGCCTATGTCAAGCTCTTGACTGACAGTAGAAGAGACAATTGGGAGTCAAAAGGAATTACAGATACTGACTCTAAAGTAACAGCTTCCTCAGTACAAAATAAAGTCTTTGTGTGGGTTGGCTTTTTTTTGGTGTGTCTGAGGGATAGAGTGTTTGTTTTCCTTCCTTGTAGGTAGGTGTATTTTTTTCTGTGCTGCAGGTTGGCTGAAACAGCTTGGTTGCTGCAGTTCGAGGAAATTTGCTGCTCCCTAGTCAGTCATGTTCCTGTGATAAAATGGTGAAGATGGTGTTTGTTTTCAGGGCTTTCTGGCATTTGTAACAGGCAGTGAGCTTACTTTTTTATGAAACACGATGAATCCAGCAAAGTAATTCATCCTGTTATTCACTCCTTGTAAATGGTTACAACTGTAGTAAGCTATAAACAACAGAAAAGACATTGGTGTCTGTACAAGACCAGGCAAATAACTTCATATCCAAGTTTGATCTGCTGTCAGTAGACCCAGGAGATCATTGGTTATGTACCTGTCTGCATAACATAAATTGCTATACGAGGAATTGCAGGTAGAAAATTAATATGAAATTGCTTGCATTCTCAAAATGCAAGTAATATTAAAAAAAAGTACATGATAATGCAGCTAGCTACAGCTTAACTGATTACAGTGGCCATATGTCTAGTACAAGAATAATTCGGTGCAAGTGGTCTTTCAGAAAAAAGTGAGAGTCTGCATGGCATCAGCTATCCATACAGTTCTCAGGGCAGAATTAGGATCTGCACTGTGATTAATAGTGTTATCACAGGGCGGTGCTGTATGCCTCTTAGAGATGGCTATGTTATTGGAACTGGTGTTTTAATCTCCCTTCTAGCTTACCAGTACTCATTTTGTAGGGGAGTGTAGTATGTCATGTGTAATGTCCAGTGCTGTTGTGGGACTAAAATCGCTGCCTCCTTCCCTTACTCAAATTAACAGTGTTCAGTAGCATGTGAAGGGGTGCATTTTTCCCGGTTTATGTTGTAAACCCCTCTGATTTGAGCCTGTGTGTTGCCATAAGCGTGGATAGTGCACTGAGCACACTGCACTAATACAAAGAAGGAAATCTGTATTCCCTCTGGACTTACCATGATTACTGCTTTTCTCTTATAACCTGGAAGTACACTAAATGCTATGTGACTGCATTTAATGGCAGGTTGGTGTCAAAGGGAGGTTTTGTTTGTGCGTTCAAACTCAGATTTCCATCACCTTTCACCGCTTCTTTTATTTCCCTATATTAGCAGTTTATTACAAAGAGACTAAATTACAGAAAATTGTTCAATTCCAGAGATCCAAACACCATTTTCAGAGGAAACTCATTAACTTCCAAGTGCATTGACGAGACAATGAAACTGGCAGGGATGCATTATCTGCAAGTTACACTAAAGCCAATTATAGATGAGGTAAGAGCAGTTTAGGCTGTTTATTTGATAAAATGTCACTGTAAAAGGCCTTCAGGGAGCAGATACTGTTTATTCCTTCCCATTTTAAGATCACGTTGTAGGAATAATGTTTAAAAGCCTGTTTCTACGTTAAAATCCTGTGTGTTAGTTTAGCCACAGCTGAGTCACCCAATTCAGAAACAGATGGATTGTATTAAAGGAAAAGGACAGTTTCCATTTCTTTAACTAAATCACTGTTTTATAAAATCTAATGTTTATTGTTTGTGAGAAATTAATAATGTAATAACTTAGATGAATAAGAATATATACAGCAGAATGCTGCTAGGAAGCTGTAAGTAATACATTCCATCCAGTGGGTATACAGGAATAAAATTATTCTTAGATAACTGCATATGTGATGCATGTATTGTAACAGTGGTTTATTATCTATCCAGTCCAGAATGGTGAGTGTGGGTATTTTAGTGCAGTAATTGGGCAATACTTTCAGACCACAGACTTCCTTTAAATTATTTGACAGTTTCAGCTGTTTTAATATTTCATCAGAATATGTCAAGTTTTTAAAGAATATAGTTATGCTTTCAAAGTGGACTATTTTGGCAAAATAGGACTTTTCTTGAACAGCCTTGCTTCAGAGAATCTAATGAAAATTCTTCATTTCAGTTAAAGGGTAGAATGAATTAATGGTACTTTTTGGAAAAAACCCAACGATTGCATGTAATTTACCATTGATGCTTTGTCAAAAGAAAAAAATTACCATTTATAAAGTTGGTTTTTGCCTTTTACCCCCCAAAAATGAACAGATTATGCTTTTTACAAAGCTTTTTCTACTTGAAGGTAGACTGGTATATTAATTGTTGGCTATATTTTTTTTCTAGATCTGCCAGGTCCATAAACCTTGTGAAATTGATCCTGTGAAGTTAAAAGATGGTGAAAACCTGGAAAATAACAGGGTATGCGTTAGATTTTGAATATATAGTCTCTGTTTACACTATCAAGTTTAACTGAGGTCCTCAGATGTTTGATGTTGCAAATAATTTTTTCATTAATTAGAGTACACTGGAAGCTTTCTTAACACTACCAAGTGTTATAACTAGTTTACAATGGCTTTACATTATGCTATAAACACAATATCTGTAGAATATTAATCACTTCTCCCACTGCCGTTGAGGACAAGGATGACTAAGCCTGTAACTCTACTGATGATACAGCCGTGTCACTTGATGTTTGTTTTTGATAGGAATAATATTTTTACTCTTGTACTTGAATATGTGGATTTACCAAAGAGAGTATCAATGAGTGTGAGTTTTTTTGCAAATATATAATGTGAAAGTGAGACTCTTTAATGATGCCATTATGAATAAAACCAGGAATGATATTTCTTTCCACGGCAGAAAATTATACTAATTTTGTCATAATCATTGCATTTTTCAGGAAAATCTGAGGCAATATGTTGATCGCATTTTTACTGTAATTACAAAATCTGGTGTAAGCTGCCCTACAGTTATGTGTGATATTTTCTTTTCACTGAGAGAATCAGCTGCCAAACGTTTTCAAGGTGAGTTTCTATACATTGTTTTATTTTACATAATTGATAGCTTTTAAATGTAGGTGTAGTCTAGCCATCTGCATGATCCATGATGGATTTAGTAATTGAACAGCAGCTTATCCAAAATACCATTGGGAGTTAAACATATTTCAGAGGAAAACAGCATTTAAAAAGCATTATGATGGTATGTACTTACAGTTTCAATATTTGCAAAGTATGCTCAGTTTTCGAATATTGAGGTTTTTGTAATGGCTCATTCTGCGGACTCCATGCAGCTGAATTATTTTCTGTTCACACGTCAATCTCTAATAAAGGCCAATCTATAAATTATTTGAGTCATTGCAAGCTCATTGCCCTAGGAGGCCCATGTGCTGGAAAGGTTTTCTGACTGTCAAGAGAGAATTCTTTCCGCTCCCTCCTAGTTGTTTTGGCTCTGTGAGAATGAGCAGGTGATATAAACCGGAATTGAGCAAAACAACCAACCTATATCTTTTCATGAAGGGAAGCAGACTAACAGTAAGGAAGTTTTAGAAAGAATAATACAAGTTCAGCTTTTAAACAGTCACTTCATAGTACAGAAGCTCAAGCAGAAAAGCATTGATTGTGCTGTTGTGGTCTTATGTAGAAATAAACAAGTAAGTTGTATTTTCTGTGATTACCAAATGGAATAGATCCATTAGGAGTCTGTACAGCACTTGTGCTGGGGGCTATAACTAGATAACTGAGAGTTGGCCTCTGCGCTGAACATTTCATAAACTGTGTAAGTTATTCATCATACTTCAGTTGCATAGATGGAATAGCAGAGGTTTGTATGAAATTCCCTGTGCAGTGGAAAAGTGAATGTTTTTCTCTTTGAAGCCTGTGTCATGAACTTGCTTCTTTTTAAAAGGCTGTCATTGACGTTGCCTTGGTTTATGCTGGGCGATCTCTGGCTCCAAATCCTCCATCATCAGTTAATCCTGTAACTCACAAATATATACATTTCCAGCACATGCTTGAGTTAGCTTTCTGAAGGCATTCTGATAATTTCAGAAGGTTTTAAGGAAGGATTATTGAAATGCTGAGTAGGGGTCTTTTTTTCAATAGGTGACCCAGATGTGAGGTATACAGCTGTTAGCAGCTTTATTTTCCTGAGATTCTTTGCCCCTGCCATTCTTTCTCCAAACCTCTTTCAGCTTACACCACACCATCCAGTAAGTACCGTATCAATTTTTTTCTAGCTATGTATATGGTTCTGTCACCACAGTCTGTCTATCAAGATTCTTTCTTCAGTGCTTTTAATAGCCTTTGGGAGAAGTACCTTTGTTAGTTCGAAGATCTGCTATGTCTGTCTTGGATATGAAGCGTGTGTTCAATGTCTGTGTATGTGAAAAACTTCGTAGGTAGGGGAAGAACAGTGACGTTTAAGGACAAACAAGGTCCATGGTCTAAGCTTCATTGGAAAAGATGGCCACGGCTTCATTTGTGCCACATTATATTAATGCTGGATTGATTGTCAGCAACGTTGGAATTTTTTTGTATGTTTTGTATTTTTTATAAGCAACCTGTCCAAGGCTTTTAGTAGTTGTTCTTATTGAGAGTGGGGAGGACCTGGACAGTCTTTGAGATAGAAATTTCTATTTTTGTTTTGTAAGTGATTGCTTTTGGTTCTCTGAAGAGCAATAGGGTAGCTATGAAGCATGATGACTTAAGAGTCAAAATGCTTTAAAAATAGCAACTTTTTTCCTCTAGTGTTTTATTGGGTCTTTTATAATTTTATGTTACTCTTCTGCAAGTGAAGTAACAAAGAAGAAATGTAGTTTACCTTCCTCTATTCCATATTTTAAATAGTTAGCCCATATATTGTTCTCTTTCCTAGGATCCCCAGACTTCTCGAACTTTGACGCTTATCTCTAAAACCATTCAAACGCTAGGCAGCCTATCAAAATCTAAATCTGTAAGTATGCCATTTTCATTTAAAGGCTTAATTTAGGAAAGTGATTATCTTTTTTTTTTTTAATCTTTTATCACTCATTGTAATTAATCTTTTAAAATGCTTGAGTTGCACTAGGCTTATGCAGAACTGGTTATGTTTGTTTTGATTATAAGCCTCTCATGCTACCAGGAAAACTAAATCTGTCTTAATCTGAACTAGATTTCAGTAAAGCAAAATTGTGTGACCAACCTAGAAGTCTGTTTCAGGGCTTTTCATTCATTCCTTCTGGAAGAAAGATAGTGATCAGGAAAACCCGTGAAGCCTCTGCTTGCCTCTCGTACATGATAGCAGCTCTAGAGGGCTTTACAGACTTTTTCAGCATTTTAAAACTCAACTGAGAAGAATTACTCCATAAAGGGAAGCTCTATGCTTTTCTTTTCACTCCAGTTCAGTTTTCTGCCAGTTGGTGGTGAGGTGAAATCTAGGTGGCCATGCTTTCTCAGGAAATGTAGTGACAGGACAAGGGGTAATGGTTCAAGCTGAAAGAGGGTAGATTTAGATTAGATATTAGGTAGAAATTTTTACTGTGAGGGTGGTGAGGCACTGGAACAGGTTGCCCAAGGAAGCTGTGGATGCCTCATCCCTGGAGGTGTTCAAGGCCAGGCTGGACGGGGCTTTGAGCAACCTGGTCTAGTGGGAGGTGTCCCTGCCCATGGCAGGGGAGTTGGAACTAGATGATCTTTAAGCTCTCTTCCAACCCAAACCATTCTATAATTCGGTGGTGACTCTATGCTCTTGATGTTTGACTGAAATAAAACTTGCATACCTAAGACACCACAATGCTATATCTGGTGATAATTTATGGTCACTGGTGGTCTAGTTAGGATTCACACAGGCAACTGTAAATGAATCTGTACCTCAATAACGAATCCTTCGAAACGATAGAATTCTTTCTCTCACACCTTCTGTCATCTTCTTTTAGGAGCACGTTTAAAAGCCAAAGCAGAAGCTTGACTCTTCTGAAGAATGCAGTATTACCTGTAGTAACTGAACATTTGAAATGCATTCTGCTACCTTTTTAAAAGAAGAATTTGGTACTACTGAATGTGTGCTGTATAACATGAAAGTAGAGCTTTGCTTATTTTACCTCTGGGGAGAAAAAAAAAACCCATCTGCAGTGGCTTGCAGTCTACTGTTGTTAACAATAATATTTTCTGTATAAACTGTATTATGATATGCATGGTTTTGGCTTTGCATTTCAGGCCAATTTCAAGGAATCCTACATGGCTACTTTTTATGACTATTTTAATGAGCAGAAATATGCAGATGCAGTAAAAAATGTAAGTAATGCATGTGAATGTTCTGAAAATCCTACTGTGTTGTTGAAGCTGATGCTTGGAATCCTAGAATGTAATGCGTACTGTTTGTAAACCAGGAAGCATGTGCTAGAAAAAGCAGACTCCTGATAACTGTAATATTCATGAAATTTGTATCAAACTATGTGCATGTCAATAGCAGAATCTCTTTGGATCTACTTCTACTTAATAATTGGTTTGGATTAACAAGTTGCTGCTTAGAGCTTGAGACGTGCATGCTTCGTAGAATGCTGCAGAAAATTGCTTAGTCCAAAAGGAAGTGAAAGATACATGTAACAAAGGAGAAGCACAAGAAGTAGTGTTGGTCATCTGCAGTTTTTCTGCTTAGGAGCACTTGTGCTATTTTTAGTTTACAACCCAGGAAACCTCCCAAATTCCTCAAGCTTCTGCCGTTACCTTCTGTTTAACTACTTTTACAATATTTTCTTGTAGCGCTCGCTGTGCTGTACAAATGTTAAAGATTTTAATTTGGGTAGTATGGTACTGTCATTTTTATCTATGCTTTTTGTTCACCTTTTAGTTTCTAGATTTAATTTCATCTTCGGGAAGGAGAGATCACAAAAGCATAGAGCAACCTATTTTGCTTAAAGAAGGGTAAGCATGCATGTGCAGCAAAACCCTCTACGTGTGTGCTTGCTACTGTTCTAAGGCAGCTATCTTTTTTTTTTTTCCCACCATTTCTATTCCATCCATGTGTTCAGAGAAGAATGTAGGAAGATTCTTGTGTTGCTATTTCTACTCTCTGTGGCTGCTATAGCTGATTTTAACATATTTTCATTTGATTTAAACATTTTCATTTAATTGTGTTTTGAAATAAGCAGAGGAAAAAGAAGCCTGTAGAACTTAATTAGCACAGCTAAGGCAAAATAAACTTAAATTAGCATTGTGTTAAAATCAAGTTGTTGGTGTGTTTTTTTTTTTTCTGAACTCCAGTGAACAAAAGCTGTAAAATTCCACTGTGAAGGCAGATAACTGAATACCTTGGTGAGGGCAAAGCCTGCAAATGGAATTTGCTTTTGCTGCCTTGTAAGATCCAAATGCTAATCATTATCATGGCCATTTCAAGGCAAATTTGTGATGCATTTGGAACGGTTTCTAGTTTTAGTAACTTTCCTTTTTTTGGAAGCATGTTCCATGTGCCATATTAGTTTTAGAGACTAATTGTTGACATTTTTTGTGTTAAAAAAACAGAGTTGTTAAGAATCATCTAAGTGCACTGTTGAAACAGCTTCTTTGAGCTGGGAGAAAGAAAGTGAAAAATCCAAATTCTTCCTGTCAGAGCTCAGTAAGCTGAACTGCTGCTTGAAAGTAAGCTTTCATGATAGCTCTAAGTCATGCAAAAGTTAGGGTTTCGGTGAAAACATGACTACCCCTTCCAGTTAACCTCTGCAGTTCACTTCTCTGATGAGCATCTGTCCCTAGGAAAAAGTTTGTCTATTTTAATTCTGTACATTTATCATTCTTTTGTTTTTGAAAATAAATGCATAGTTTGTAACATTTTCCCTCTAACTCTAAAACATTATTTTTTCTGCCTCTGTCTTTCTTTTGCTCCTGTCTTATTTTTTTCTGTCTTTTCTTGCTCGGCCTGTGGCTGCTGTTGTAAGGACTCTTAAACTAACAGTAAAGAAAGTTGATGGTAATAGTTCATGCAGGTAAGACAGTAGGGGCAGTTGGTGCTTTGCTGTAGCTGCCAGCTGACAATATGTGTTTCCTTTGCAGCAGTAGACTTGTCTGACTTTGGGGAGGAAGTACTCTGTTGAACAATCCTGACATCCCTGTGTAAACCCAGCAGAGAACATTTTATCATCTATTTCTCGATGTTGACCAGCTTTTTTTTTTCCTTTTTTTCTTTCCTTGAAGCAAAAACCTGCTGTAAATAGAGAATAAAGGACTTCTCTCTGTAGGCAGAGGCTCTAGGAGACGCTGAGATTTGCTTAATATTGACTTCCTAGATACCAGTGAACTCACTGGAAGTGATTAAGAAGTGGCCGTACATTTTCTAGGCACTTTAGCATTCATGTAAATTGTTCTCAAGGCTAAGGGCTGGCCTTCAGCTGCCTGTTTTTCCTGATATTTTGCGTTATTGCCATGTAACATCATGGGAAGTGGGTGGGAATTTTCACAGCCTTTGACTTGACTCTCCTCCAGATTGATTGGCTGGTTAGTGGGGTTTCTGTTTGCCTTTGCAATCTGTTTGTTGTTTTTTGGTTTTGTTTTGGTGGTTTTTTTTTTAATCTGTCTTTGCTTCTATTAAGAGTGTCTAGATGGAAAGCTATAGCATATGTACTTTTGAGTGAACATACAGTACCAAAGATTAGTCACTAGCACTTGGGTTTACTGGCATTGATCATGCCATCACTGCTTAACAGCTATCTATCTGCCTGGTTCTTTCCAAAAGGAAGAGAATTAAAAGGAGAACTAGTCCTGCTGTTCTTGTAGGTGAAAGGGGCATGCTGATGTTTATGAGAAAGGCTAAGGCAGATCCAAACTCAGGTCTACCATAAACATGAGAACAAACCAACCACTCAGCACCGAAATGGGTTTAATCTTAGAGTTTTTTTTCCCTTTGTGCTTCTGACTGTTTGCTCTGACTCCGCGCACATTCTGTGAATGTTAGAAACAAATAAATCCTTTAAATTGACCTTATAACTTCTATGGCTTTGAATGCTTGTCACTTATCTGTGAGAAATAGAAGCACATTCTTCTCTTGGCTATGTCACCTATCAAGAATTTAATTGGAAACGTGCTCTTAGCTCTGCAGTATGGAGTTTGTATTTTTCAAAGAGGGCTCTGTAGGAGTTTGCAGTTTTAAGTCACCTTTTGAGTGTTGGCATGAGAAGGACAAGAAACTTAACCTGACGAGCATATTGCCCAGCCCAAGGATATCTGCTCTTCCCTTGAAATTTGCCTTAACCTTGAAATATGAAAACTGCCACCAGTGGTGATGACCTAAATAATATAATTTTATTAAATATTATTCAAGTAATCTAAGAATAAGGATTGAGACAGTAACTCTCTGACTGTTTTAAGAATGAGAGAGGTGTGTAACTGTAATTGGTTTAAAAAAAATAATCTGTTGCCGTATAGAGTCCTTGTCAGCTTTTACCCACATGACTTGAAATGGGTGGCTGACACCAGCCCAGCTGGTTATGAAGCAGTCAAGATTTGCAGGTACTTGGGTTTCTGTTTGAGCTTTAAACAGACCTGCGGTTTGGTTGGATGCAATGTAGTTGTTTCTAACTGAAGATACCAGAAGCCAGAAACAGTATTAGCTGTTCTAAGTGGTTTAGCTCTGCTATTGAAAATCTTTGACAAAATCATTTGCTGTTCTCTTGGTGTGCTCTTTGTGCTCTGTAGTGCCTTCCTACTTGATAAAAACTACTCTGTAGTAAGTAGTTTTACTGGCTCCATTATACAATTCTGTATTTTGCACAATAGTTAATGTAATGTGTAGAGCAGCTGTTATCAACTCTGTACTGTATATGCATACACATTTTTTTCCACCCAAAGTGATGCTGAAAGTCACCGGGCTTTCTAAAGTCACCTTGAAGCTTTTGGATTGATTTAGTGGTTAGGAAGGTGCTGGATGCATCACAGTTTCTTGTAAGCTAATTCAAGTTTGAAATTAATTAAAACTGACAACTGACTAAATGAATGCCCCTCTGCCAAAAAAAGGTGGAGCAGGGGATTCTAGCTTTCAGCCATCAGATTGCTTTGTGTGTTACTGAAAATGGGTTTCCAACCGCAGCCTCAATCTGCAATTGCAAATGGTGTGGAACATCCTGGTTTTGTTTCTAGAGCTTGGGAGTGACTAAAGCATGTAAGGGTACAGTCCCTGTGCTCCAGAGGCCTTACACCTGTCTTTTAACTATTAAACATACTCTAGACCTTTTTAGCTTTCTCGCAGCTTTGAAAAAAATGACAAAAAAAGCTTGTAGAGTTAACACGTCAAGCTTAGCAGAGCCTTACTAACCATGCTCTGCCCTTTCTTGCTGTAGTAGGAAACCATTTAGCTGGATTTGTAACCGAGGAAAGGGCACAGGCTGCAGTTCAGCTAACTAGAGCCCTTATATAGACTACAAGTCAAGCTACGTGTCTTGCCCTTTTCTAGGTCTGGCAAAAGGACATGCTTAACTAACAGATGCACTAAACCTATTCTAACGTGACTTTCCTTGCCTTGTCAAGACAAGGCCTCAATAATTAGAAAACATTGTGTGTTCCTTCCTAAAGCTTTGTAAGTGCCATCGTGTATGTGTGTATATATATGTATATATGTGTAAATCTATATACATAAATACATGTTTTTATGTATGCATATATTTCTATGAATGTATATATAAAATCTGTATATTTTAACAATTGTTGTCCTGTTTACTAGGTTCATGATCAAGAGAGCACAAGGAAGAAAACGCTTTGGTATGAAAAACTTCAAGAAGAGATGGTTTCGCCTGACAAACCATGAGTTTACCTATCAGAAAAGCAAAGGTAACAAAGGTTTGCCAGTCTTTTTTTGATACATTAAAGTGAAGATTAAACATAAGGATTGTGTAAGAACAGAACACTGAGATCTAGATCTGTAACTGTAGAAGGCACAGTGCAGGCAAGTCTGTCAGCCTGTATGTTCTTGCCCTTTTTCTAGTATGTCTGTACTGACTGTTAGAGAAGCTTCTTGGACAGCACGGTACCCTATAAATTAGCAGAATATATGATAATATTTGTCTAATATCAGTTATCAACATCATCTATAGGTTTCAGGGTTACCTAGTAGATTATCCAAGGAAGCAAAACTCAGGATACAAATACCATACACTGGGATCCAGGTTTTTATCGAACGTTCTCAGATGCATCTCAGCTTGTTCTCATGTATTCTGTAGCATTGGCACAACTGGCTGCAGTAGGCAGGGATTTGCCTGCAAGCTTTGAACTTGCAAAAATGTGTTCACTTTATGTTGCCTAATATCAGGGATTTTGCTTTTCACAAATTGTTCCTGTCTGTTCAGTAGTACACAACAAATACTACTTCCTTTCATCATAAATACATAGGGAGTGAGAAAGATAAGGAAACATGCTCAGATCATGCCAGTCATCATTTCACACTGAATTTTAAGATCTTACATCACCAACTCTGCTGACAGGAATGATTTCTTTCATTGTCACCTTCTCAGGAAATACACTGCATCCTGCTGCAGTAGTCAGCTTCTAAGAGGTTTGCTAGCATAACATAGTGCATCTGAAAACAGAAATGAATTTAAGATAAAACTTCAGGACTATGTTAGTAAAGCCCTGCTGAGTGAAAAATCTTTTTCATGTTCAGTAAAAAGAATTTTCAAAGGAACAGAATCAGCCCTTAGAATAAGGGCAGAGGGTGAAGTTGAGTTGTGAATAAGTTGTTCAGTATCTGTGTGTGTGTGTGTTCTGCAGGTGATCACCCTCTGTGTAGCATTCCAATTGAAAACATTCTGGCAGTGGAAAGACTGGAGGAGGAATCCTTTAAAATGAAAAATGTAAGTAGGTCATCTTCATTAATTTACTTGTTAGGCTGGTCTAGATCCACCAGCCTAATCGCCTTTTTCCCTTTTGTAACCTGGGTTGGGTTTCTATTGAAAGATGTACAACCACAGCTGCTTGTTCTGTATATAGTAGCAGGAGTTTCCAAAAGTACAGCCCATTCAGATTCTTAACAGCCCAGTCAGCAGTCCTTGGGTTTCGTGATCTGCAGCACACTCAGTACTGACTGCTGCTGATCAGTTGTCTGGGCCCTGTAATGTCAGACACAGGTAAGATAATCGAGTCCCTGCCCTTTCTGTCAGATCTCTCTGTTGGGAAGGAACTGGCTGCTTATAATTGTGAAGGATCATATCTTCTTTCTTAGCTATCAGGGTTTCTTTATTGGTTAATGAAATTGCATATATATGTGGGTTAAGTCATGTGCCAAAACAACATCTGTGCTGTGCCAGTATGGTTTAGCATTTTGATTGCCACATTAGGCAATAAAATACAGCTGTATTTCTCATGCATGGAACACTACTGCCTGCTTCTGTATGCAAGACATACCATCCATTGTGTAAGAACAGTTCTTAGACATGATCAGTTTAGGTGATGCTGGAAGCCCTTTTCATACTCTTCTGCCTGTAAAGCTGAGTACAGTCCTTAAAAAATTTTATTAAAAAACAACAACAAACAACAACAACAAAAAACAGCTGTGTTTGCCAGTTCTAAACCTGCATCTACTACACACTTCTTTATACACATAAATGTTTGTGACACTTAGGTTTTCTGTCTTGAAGTCATTCCTGACATCTACACTGCTTGTGGACACCATGCAGGGCAGTGCTCAAACCTGCCCTAGATATTAGGTTCCTCAAACAGCATTTGTTAAAGTGAAATACAATGCTTGAATCCCCAGTATTTTCTCTGTTCCAGGCATTATTTTGGTAACATGTCTCTCTCTCTTAAAAGATGGAATAAGTTTTAGTTCACTTGCTTCTAGAGCACATCTTCATCGTACTGTAGCTGCCTCTGGTGTTTAAAACTCATGTTAATTACATGCGCAAAAGCAACCAAGCTGCAAAATAATTTTCAAGCTATCCAAAGGCAACTGTAACGTGTGATGAACTGTTGCCCACTGTACTCTTCAAAATAACTAGTTTGAACTAAAAGTAGCCACACAGTTGAGATAAAACTTACTGTGTGGGGAGAAGGGCTGAGCTACAGTTCTGATCAGGTCTTCAATGACAGCAGTCTTTAACTTATGCTGAGTCTACTGGGCTAGAATGCATCCAAAGTATCCCTTTATTTTAAAGGTGTATTATAGGAAAAATATCCCTTTATTGCCAACATCAGGAACTGTGTGCTATTTTGGTTGCTTAAATTCAGTATTACATAGGAAATTAAGGTGACTAAGTCCATTCTGGGTAGTAAGGTTCAGGGTCTTTCCATAAGCAGTAGAAAATATCATTATCACCTTCCCGTGCTAACATATTCCCATTTATCTTGAAATACATAAATAGAACACTGCAGCAAGAACAGAATTCTCGGAACACCACAGCAGATGTATTTGCAATGGATATTCCATCATGGGTGCTAAGTGTGATTAAAGATCTACATTTTCTATAAATATTTTCTGTGTATCTGTGTTCTGAATTGCATGAACTGTGTCTTCCTTACTCCTGGTAAATCTGCCTGTCTGGCAGTAAGGCCAGTAGCTTTCATCTTCCTTAAGCACAGTTCGGGGGATGTAGGGGTGGCTTTCAGTACTGTTCAGGTCTTCTGTGTTGTTTGAGAAGCAACTGGTGGTTTTGGTAATGTCAAGGTCTTGCAACCACTTGAAATTCTTGGCTTAGTTGTGGGCTTCTCAGTAACAGTTGCCACATGTTAGTTCACTTAGATTGTATCCCCTTACACAAAGCCATACTCCTTAAATCTGTTCCTTTGTTGTAATGCAGAAGGCTCCATTTACCCCAGCATGACATTAAAATTCTTTTCCCTGTAATTCTGTGTTAAGGGAGAGACACACTCCTGTCTTCCTCCATCCTTCCTTCCCTGTTCCCCAGATTCAAATTGCTAGTTAACATCCTGAAAGTTTTATTAAAAGGACACTCTCTTTGGCGTGTGTTCTGGCAGTGCTGGACTGATCACACTAGCAGCTCCTACACCGCTCTTGTGTATTGCACCTTTCTAATTATTGTCTGACATCTATAAGGATACTAAATCCAGGGAAATGACTGTTGGAGATTTCTCTTTTCTGTTAGAAGAGACGTTGTAATTAAAAAAAACTGTTAGTTCACAAATTAGCAAGTATATTTGCAAGCTGCTTTGAAGGATGTGCACCTAAAAGTGTCACAAGGGAAGAAGAGATTGCACCTGATACCTCTCTGCAATATTCTTCCAACCAGCTAGGTGCAGAATTCAGGGTAATGTTTCAAGTCTTTGCAATAGACAGAAGTGAATTTCAGTTTTGGTGGGTTTTTGATGGGTTTTTTGGTGGGTGGGTTTTGGGGTTTTGGTTTTTTGGTGTTTTGTTTTGTTTTTTTGAGCCTCTTTTTAAAGTAGTGCAGAGAAGCCAGCTGTTTGGAAAATAACATTTCACATTATATGGGCAGTGTAATGTCTAATGGTTTCAATAATCACATGAAGAAGTAGAGGGGGAAAGGATAATTTAGGAATACCAGAGAGAGAGAGGAAAAACGATCAAAATTAAGTATTTCTAGAAGCTAGAGGAAATGAAGATGATTGACATTTGCCTTTACAAAATTTGCAGTTAAGATCACTGACTTGAACTTCAGTTATCTTCAGTGCACGATCAGTATAATCAAGCAATAAAGCTGTGCATCAGAAACTTGCTTCTTCAAGAGAAGGAAAACAAATGTGATTGTGCCACTTTAGGTTGCAAGCTGTTTTGAACAGGCAGGAGAGCTCTAGTTCAGATTTTCAGTACCCAAGCTATAATGCAGAATTAATGTGTAATTATTTGAACCACCGTATGGCAATTAAAGAGAAACTGTATTGCTGTAATTTACTAATAGCAGCTATAGTTGGGTGCAGAAGCGTGGAAGTTGCTAAAAGGAAAGAATCACACTGAAATAGGTGTTAAAAAGACTAGAGCTATGGCAGCAGTGAAGCAAAGCTGTCGCTGAGTCTGGATCCGAACTCTCCTTTTTCTCTTTTCTGCCCCCTGCTGACTAGCATTTTCTTTCAGCCTTGTGTTGGATCCCTCTGTCAGCCTTCCAAAATTTGGAGCTGCAGCATTACTAAAATTGCATCCCTGAGGCTGACAGCAAATCTTGTTGAGGCCCAACCAGCAAGGTGATGATATTAGCTGTTTGTAAATCATCTCCTGGAGGAACAGTATCTTACTCCTTGTACCAGGTCAAAGGTCTTGTTGTTTTAATGGCACTTTTGCTGCTTGGTTTTGCATTGAAATGTATTTATTGGTGCATTCTTTTAGTATGCTGTGGTTTCTCTTTAATAAATCATCAGACTGAGCCCAGGCCTTAGGTTCACCAATTCATTCTGGTGGTTTATTCCGTGGCTTGTTTCCATATTTGCAGATGTTCCAGGTGATCCAGCCTGAAAGAAGAGTCCTGTATATCCAAGCAAATAATTGTGTGGAGGCCAAGGACTGGATTGATATCCTCACCAAAGTTAGCCAATGCAACAAGAAGCGCCTCACGGTCTACCATCCTTCTGCGTATCTTAATGGCCACTGGCTTTGCTGTAAAGCTACTGCAGATAATACTCCCGGCTGCACACCCTGCACAGGGTAAGGATTGGTAACATGCTGTTGGTCTAGGTATTGCCAGGGGGTGCATGTGTCTCTGCAGTGTGACTTGTGGGTATGCAAGCACCAAGAAGAATCTGTCAGGTGCGCAGGCATCGTGGTGTTGTCAAAGGCCATCTTTATGGCTATTTCTGATTTTGTCAGTATCTGCATATCTTGGTCAAAATGTTGAAATTTTTAGAGTTCAGGACATTGGTAGGAGTTGACTGTGGGATAAGATGCTTTGGTTCTGATCATCTGTCATTAGTAAAAATGTCAGAAATCTCTTCAATGTCCTGTTTGTAAATTCCTGAAACAGATAGTCGTCTGCTTCTAGATTTAATTCTAAGTGGATCTTTTTCTAAGGGGCCCACTCATGCTCTCTCTGAAATGAAGAGTCTGGTTTGTAGGAAACTATTTGCATCTAAAATGAGAGAAGCAGCAAGTCTGTAGCCATAGTCACAGAATGCAAGACGTGTACGGTTGGGAGTTCAGTGCTTTGGCTCCTCCATCTGGTTATAGCAGACTTAAATCACCAGAATGCCTGGATACTGATAGAGTCCTCAAGTCAGAGCAAAAGTATGCTGAATAAATCAAAGCATAAAGAAGTTTGAACTTGTCTACTCTTGGGAAAAATAGGAAGTTTTGAGCTCCATTACATACAGTCTGTTGGCTTTCATGGGTACTCACTTTTACTTTCATCCTTGTTAATTGCTTTTTTTGCCATAATATACTGTTCAGCATATAACTTCTACCTCTCTTCCTGATGCCTTACAGAGGCCTACCAGCAAATATACAACTGGATATAGATGGAGATAGAGAAACTGAGCGCATTTACTCTCTTTTCAACTCCTATATGCCAAAATTGGAGAAAATGCAAGGTGAGGATGAAAGATCATTGCATCTCGAATACACTTAGCAAGGCAAAAATCCCTGTGGAAAAGTTGTATGATCTAGCTAGACCAGCCTTACAAATCACATCCTAGAACACAGTAGCCATTATTTAACTTGTTTCCCCTTCTGCTGTCTTGAGGCAGTTGTGTGAATTATTTTTGGTGCAGTGTGCAGTCTCATAGTCTGTACAAAGTTCTTTACATAATAAACAGTTGTCTGAAATAAGGTTTTAACCACAGCATCCTAAAATAGTGTAGGGACAGAGCATTGCTTGGATGCTCTGAATTGACAAATGAGAGTGTGCACTAAACCAGAAGTTTACTGATCCTGAAAAGAGGCACCAGCAAAGTTGAGGTTTCAGTGGAACATGGTTTTGTGTTACCAGAAGTCATGTGCACGTTCCCTGATCAAGATACCATGAACAGGTTGGGTACAGATGGTTTTCTCAGGAAGGCTCTTTTGGAATTATCAGAGAAAAATGACCTGTGGATGTCTGTGAAATGTTGAAAAGTTAAATGTGGGCTGGGAAACCCTCAGGAGCTGAGGGGAGCAGAGATGTGACATGAAGGATAAATGAAAGAAGAGACAGCAGAGGAAGTTAGTACTGGTAGGCATGCCAAGAAAAGTATCCGGTGTACACGGTGCCAGACTTGAAATCCTAATTTAGTACAGGGAGTGGCAGGGAAGCCTTCACTGTGGCACTGATCTTTAAATAGGATGTTATTTTATAATATGAGATTAGCCAGTGGTGTCAAACACACAGATTGGAAAGCACTTTAATCCATTCCTGGCCACTGTGCAATTGTAAACTGAAGATGCCCACCACTTCCGAGCTGTCTGAACCAATGCCCAACTTTCCCCTGTTCCAGATCCTCACTGCCAGAGCCAGCATCGAGTTTCAGTGTCGGGGAAAAAGGACACAGGTCTGGCACAGGCAGTGCAGCAAGGGGAAGATAGCTCAAAAGCTGAAACAGCAGTAAAGCTGGAAAGCTAGGGAAAAATAAAGACAAAGTAAGATCATCTCTCTCCCTTTCTGATACGCTCGTCTACAGTGCAGAAGTAGGTCACTTGGTGAATGTGTTGCAGATGTTCATGTGTAGTCAGTGTGCTGATCCCTTAGCCAGGAAAGCTTGCTGTTAGGATAAGAAAGTAGTATGACTTGCCCTTCCTTAGGATATGTCCTTAAGAAGGCAGCCAGGCAGTAGTCATGACTTTCAGCTTATGCTTGCTGTATGAATCTTTTGGGGATAATGTGGTAAAACATCTTCCATGACTACTTCAACCTGTACTTGTTTCGAGTTCAGTCTGTTGTGCAGTGCCATACTTGCTGCTTAGCTGCTGCATAGGGATGAAAACTGTCCTCCTGACAAGTGAATTCTTGACTTCATGCAGGCCAGCCCTGCAGCACAGTGGCAGAGTTAGGCGTGTGTCAGAGTTCCCAAAAAGCATGTTTGGGGTACTGCCAGTGGTAACTGAGATGAAAGCATTGCTTGGGCAGTAAAGGACAGCTTTACACAAGCCAGGAGCAGCTGCCAGGCTTGCTGTCCTTTCCTTATGAGACAAGGAAGGAGCGGGCGTGGGACAGCCTCTGTGCACCCAACAGCCCAGCAAAAGGACAGGGAACTTCTCATTCTGCCCTTGCTATTGATGTCAGCCACAGATCTGTGGTGGCCGTACAGAAGCAAACCAAGGAACTGTATGAACCCTGGACTGAGTATTTTTAGTCTGCTTGTCTCTCTTTTTCCCCCTGCCTATCTGATACCTATTCCTGTACTTTATTTTTTTTCTCCAGAGGCCTGTGGCAGCAAATCTGTATATGATGGACCTGAAGAGGAAGAATATTCTACATTCATCATTGATGACCCTAAGGAAACATATAAAACACTAAAGCTGATTATTGAAGGTGTTGGAACTTTAGAGCAGGAGCATGCTCAATATAGGAGAGATAAATTTAAGAAGACAAAATATGGAAGCCAGTAAGTATAATGGGTTGTCCAAACAGGGGAACAATCCGGGGAAATGGTATTTCCCTTGCTTATGTTCTGGCCTTCACTATATTCATGTTCAAAAAAGATTCTGCAAATATATACAAAGTAAGATTGTGATTTAGGATTGATATCACGATGTTTTAAATGACTGTATTTTTAAATGCTTATTTTTTAATTCCGTTTCATTCGTAAAAATAAGTGTGGAGGTTTTTTGTTGTCTTTATTGTTTTGGGGGGGGGGGGTTGTTGTTGTTGGTTTTGGTTCTTTTTTTAATTTTGTATCTGTGCTTCTGGAATGAGCGGTAAATACCAGAAGACAATGTATTTACCAGCATCTTTCAGTGTTGGTTTAAAAACGGAAAGAATGGCTGATACAGCCACATGACCACTTTTTGTACATGTAAATAAAGGGCCATTCTGTGCATGGCTGACAAAAACGAGGATCAGTTTAGTTCTTCCAGTTCAAGTAAGATGCAGCATTACCATTACAATTACAACCTTGAAAATCAAACTTAGGGAAAAGGTTTTGGCTGTTCACTTTCCACTGTGACATTTTGATGCCTTGACAGAAAATTCTATGTATTGTACTTTTTCCTTTTTTTTCCAGAGAACATCCCATTGGTGACAAGAGCTTCCAGACGTATATCAGGCAGCAGTCAGAGATCTCGGCGCATTCCATATGAAATGCAAAGGAAATCACAGGACAGTGCTGAAGGGTCGATCAGTGAAGCTAAATAGCAAAACAAAAGGGAAGCCACACATGTAGCAAAATGTATGGATAAGTGTCAAGCTTACAAACTTTGAGACTTGCTAAACGTATTCTCTTTTCAAGAAACTGTTATAATAGTTGCTATGCACTTTATTCATCTGGTTATTGACAGATGATAAAACTCTGCCTTCTAGGCAGTTGTTGTCATGTGTATTTTTAAATTTGCTTTGGTTTCTTGGAACCTAGTGATCAGTTCAATGATCAAGGTGTGTGGACTTCATCTTGACAACTCCAATGCAATTCCTTGTGTTTCAGAAACCAAGCATGCTGCTAATATGCAGCATTTTCTAGAATGGTTGTTTTGTTACTGTTTTTTGTTCCTGATTAATGTATATTATGTCACATCCCTGCGTGCTCTCTTAGGAAAAGCTTAGTAACACTTTTTGTGCCTGCGTTTAGAAGAGAAGCAGAGAAAAAACCCACTAATGTAATCTCTTGTGTTGTAACTTGTATTCTGAGCAGGCCAAGGAGCAGGCCTTTTGTTTTTGCAGCAGCATAATTTTTGATAAATGTGCACAATTTTTAATAGAAATTCAGATCTGAATGGTACTCTTGATATTTTTGAGATACAAAGTCATTTCTCCAGACACATTCAGCAGACTTTGGTTTTGAAGATGCAATCTCAGCGGTATAATAAAAGTGACTCTCATAAATATAAGTAAGAAAGAAATGAACTTATGTCAAAGCTACATGTCTCTTTTGTGCAGTCCAGTGAATGGTAATCTTTGAAAGTCTGCCGGCTGAAAGGCAAGGTAAGCTGATTTTTTGGCCTTTTACCACCACAGCGAGAATGACAAATAGAATACGAGTCTGGCAGCTGAGACATGCTGACTCCCAGGCACAAAAGCCGTCAAGATGGGTTTTCTCTGAAAGGATGTTTAAGCACTGGAGTCCATGCTATCCTAATACCACTTGCTTTTCTAGAAAATAGATTTGTACTTTTCCAAAAATGTTTTTAAATACTTTTTAAAAGAGACATGTTGAAGGATATTTAGTATATTAACACACATAATGGTAACTTGTTAATATTCTGAGTGTAGTGAAAATGGAATGAGCTGTGTATCTCACTAATACCAACAAAAGTCATTAAGGAGGGGGGAAAAAAAGATCTGCTAAATATAAGATATATATGTATGCTATTTAGTTGTACACCGTAACTTTCCTGTGTATAAGGGTCTGATTTAGGAACATCTAGCATTGACGGCACAGAGCCTGCGTGATGGACTTTAAGCTTCTGTGGGGTAGAAGCTAGTGTTGGTTTTAAGCTGAATTGGAACAGAAAGCATTGAACTATCAGTTTAATGTGAAGATTGCGTCCTCATCGCATCTGACGTGGTTTAAGATGCCTGAAGTACTTTGAATGCCTCTGTTTGTTAGTGATGCTCTTAGGAATGAGGTTTTCTTTTTGTTTGAGTATATAGTAGACCACCTCCTAGTAGATGATAAATGATCTTTTATTCATCTTCACCCCGCAGACTGGGGAAAAGGAAGTAATGAAGCATTGCAGAGATGCATTTTGGACTCCAAGCTTTTAGCTGCCATGAACTGCAATTTTTAACATGTATTTGTAACTTAATATTGTTTATAAAATACTAATGACCTGTAATGTGTGTTCTACTTGCCAATTAAAAGAAATGTTTTATTTCTGAAAACTGTGTGTGCATATGGAGTCTGTTTAGGTTTAAGAGGCCACTAGGGTGCCTGTTGGCACACCATCTGCTGTTCAGAGTTGGACCAGGGATGAAGATCCCTGTGACAGTAAACCAATCTCTGTTGGGCCTGCAGAGTCCCATCCTCGTTCCTCCTCCCATCCCCATTCCTTTTCTTGGGTCAGCATTGCACCCGTGGGACTCTGCAGTGAACCAGACTGGGCACCTGAGCCAGCCATAAACTACTGTAGCAAAGAAAGCAGTTATCACTCAGCTAGATCAGCATCTTGAACTGGTTCCTTCTGTTATTACACAGCTATTGCTGCTGCGAGAGAGGGGTGAGACCATGTTGAAAGGACAAGGAGGGAAGAGCTGAGAGTGCAGCACCCTGCATACATATTCACTCGTGGACATATGGAACCTCTACCCTTTGGAATAGGACCTTTTCTATGGCAAAACCTTGGTCATGCTGAGGTTTGTGCAAGTCAGTCTTCTGGAGTTTAGCAGTCCTCTCTGGATGCTCATGTGGATTAAGCTTTGGCTCTGAGATGTTGTGTGACAAGCAGCACTCACTGGTTTTGTTGGGGAGTGTTTGCCGGAAGGCTAGACAACAGCCCCTCTGGGGCAGAAAGCTGTTGATCAGCTCATTCAGTGTGTGTGAGTCTTGCTCATGTTCAAGGTAACTCCCCCTGCTGTATCGGGTGTCTCTGCCACCAGGACACAGACATGCATTTCTGAGAAACTACTGGAGAAGAGCTGCTGCAGGTGCACTCTAGCTGAGTGACAGTAGTAGTTTAACAAGTAGACCACAGCCAGGAAAGAAAACCAAACCGATGGTAGAAAACACGACCGGTGTCTTGGTGAAGGTGAATTTGACCAGTTATGCAAGTGTGTTTTTTTGCTGAGAATTTGTAAACCTTGTTTTAAAAACAAACAAGGTTTTAAGTACGATGAGGTAGTAAACTGACACAGGATTTGTAAGAAATGAGCAGTTAAATCCAAAATGACTGTTAGACCATTCCCAGGTCTGTCTCTTTTCCACTTAATCTCATCCAGTGTATACAAACATTCTGTTTTCCAGTTAACATGTCTTAGCTGAAGTAAATAGGAAATATTTGAAACCTGCTTTTCTTATGGAATAAAATTAACAGGGTTGGTGAGGTGGTTGTGTTAAAACTGGGCTTCCAATACTTGCTTAGCCTCTGTCTCCTGTCTGTCTGCAGCATATGTTTCTGATGTTATCTTCAGAAATACTCAGCAAATCCTGCCCACGAGATAGATGACTTGCTAGGGACACTTGGGTCAGCATCCCTTATATCTGGAATGAAAAAAATAACATTAAGGAAAAAAAAGCATAGCCATAAGTAAGCATGTCAGGTCAGTTTTCTTTCCTTTTCTCCTCTATCCCAGCCTGAAAAGTAAAAAACAAAAATGATTTTTTTGACAGGAAAAAAAAATTTAGACCTGGCAAGAGGACCCATGTGGCCCTGGTCTGTGTCCATTCCAGTTCAAAGGAGATGGTGTCTCTGGCCAGGCAAATGTCTATGCATTTCAGAAGAGTTCAGACTGGGAGATTTGGCGGTGAAACTGCACACCCAAGGTCAGGATTCCTGTTAGGGTTTCCTAAGGCAATGGATGGGAGCTTGGTTGACAGATAAAATCTTGTCACTTGTGCGTGTGTTCTCTAGGTGGATGCAGTAGAGATGGTGAGCAGCTGCTGCAGTGATGACAAGTCACTACTGGAGCCTTTTCATGCAGTGGCTGTTGTGTCTGAAGCCGTGCTGGGATGCAGTCAGTCTGGCAGCAGGGGCGACAAGACTTACATGTGCCAATTATGTTTCAAAGCTCTGTTGGCACCAGTGGCACTTGTTTCTTCACCCAGTAAGATTTTAATGAGGTCCGCGTATGGATGAGAGGGTTGAAGAACATGCTGCTTGTCTGGAAACTTCCATGTAAAAATCACCCAATGGAAAAAAAGAAAAGCATGGTGTTCCACAGGCATGGCGTGCGGTTAGTGCAAAGAGCACCCAGAGCCCACCACAGCCTTACAAGGCTCATGGGAGTAACCATCAGTGACTGCTGTCTGAGAAGCTGTGAGAACTTCTGTCTATGCGAGAAGCTGCTTTGGGGCTAAGGCTGTGCCATACAGCTGTCTGAGGTGCTTGAACACTGATGCGATTCCTGTCTCCGTTCCTTCTCTGCAGTAATCCACACAGTTTCAAGGATGTCATTTCAACATGTAATCGTGTAAGCACGCTTATAAAGGGCTGTGTGAGGAGCTGGCCTTGATAGCAGGAGAATGCATGAACCGTGCCAGTCCCTGGTATTAGCTCCAGGAAATGGATGCTGCAGGAGGACTGTGGTGTGGGGCAGTGTGTAGCAGCGGTTGGGACTGATGCCGTGTGGTGCTTGGAGACAAAGAAAAACATCCTCCCACAAGCCACCTTCTGTAGTCATTACAGCTAGAGACAAAGGCTAGCAGGCAGCCTGGGGAAGACATTTGTTTCTGGCTCTGAGCTAATGTTGTTAAACAGTAAATAAATTATTCCAAAGCCCGGGTGGGTACTGAAGAAAAGGCAAGGTTTTAAGACAGAAGTGCTGTATTCCTGTGTGTGTAAGATACTGGATCTGGGCTGCATAAGAAAAGACTGGAAGAAGTAATCATGGAGCAAATAATTGTTCTAGGTTCCTAAAATAACCCAAGATAAAGTAGGATCCCAGGAGATTCATCCTGAGGAAAGAAACCAGCCCTCCTGACTTCTGAACAAATCACACATGCCTTTCCCTTTCAATTCCCATTTTTCATCTGCTGCTCCATTTGGGTCACTCTGATTTACCTGAAATGTTCAAATCATTGAATTTATCATGTTTGCGCAGAACTATTACTTTTAACCACAAAGTTGCCTGCTGTTAGCACGTTTGCCTGCAAAGCTAATGTGGGTGTGTTAAACAAAAGGCTCACCAGCAACCAAGGCTAAATGTAGAGAATGTTTAAATGGTACAAAGGGAAATCGGCTTTTTTATTAGTTTGAAAATGTTGAATGCTGAATCTTACCAAAATCATATCCCAGATATACACAGTTCTGGTTAATGTTGAGGGGCCTTTGTGGTGTCTGACTAATTTACTAAATTCACTCAGCTTCTTTAATCTCTGTCACAGTTGTCATCATTGCACTGTCCTGCCCTAAAGCTGTCAAAAGGGAATAGTTTTTTTGTTATTTACTTGGGGCCATAACAAATGTACTGCCGGGATATGGGGTCTTACTCATATGCGAAAACAAGTAAATCTTGATAGAGGTGACAATGATGTGCAGGGTTGCCATCAGGTACCAGAGGTGTGAATAAATAAGTTTATTTGATTAAGAAAGGACCTTTGGATAAGTGTAGCCATGCATTTCTCTGGGGGTGAAAACTAAAACTGTAGTCATCACGTTTGTGTAGAGAAATCTGCTGACATGAATAAAGGAAGTGAACTTTTTAGGGGAAGAAAAAGGGAAATACTCACTTGATGAAAAGAGAAACTGTGCACAAAAAAAAGGCCACCCTGAAACACCTTGTGTTTTGCTTTCTTTAGCAAGTTTTTCTGTGTTACAGCTCAGCTATAGTTCCTACTTCTCATCCTCTCCAGAAGCCATCCTCTGGCAGCCGTGACATCCTATACCCATGATGGGAGTGACTGGAGAGGCTCACAGCTGAAAAAAGCAGCTTCAAAAATAGACAGGCTCATCTGTGATGTCTGGAGATGCAAATACTTTGCCTCCTGCTGAGCCACGGTGTTGTGAGGACATCCCCATGGTATGTTTTCTTTTGTGTTGAAGTCCCCTTAGATTCCTGGTCCCCCACCCTGGCTGTGGTCCAGCATCCCATTAATAGCACTGATGCAATTGCATCAGTGAAATAATTGGAACTTGTTGAAAGAGGGGGACATTTTGGAAAAACCTGGACCACCTATCTGACCACGTTTACAGCAGTCTCACAAACACTTGCATCAGCACACCTGATGAGCTGGGGACAGGCTGCCCCAGACAGCTTTACCACCAGAGCTAATGTGTCCCTAGCTATGGTCCAAATCCATTTGCCTCCAGCACTGTTCCACATCATGCTCTTGATCAGAATCACCAATGCACAATGCTGTCTGTGATATGACCTTCTGAGGCCAGTATTGCCTGCGTATATGTCCCTTCCCCCCCAAAATGCACTGTTCTTTAGGGGACCCCATCCCCATCTTAATCTTTTTCATTGTGCACGTGTGCAGCCTGGCAGCTGCCCAAGGCTCCTGCTGTTCTTCCAGCATGAGAACCGGCAAAAACAGAGACGTTCAGCTCCAGGATCTGTCTCTTCCTGCTGGCACAGTACCATGTTTCCTCAGGGTCTGCTGAGAAGCTGGACCTGTGATAGTTGCTCTGGCAGCCTCCCCACCAGCCCTTTGCTGCCTTGAATTCCCCTAGTGACCACCACCACAGGCTCAAAGGCAGTTTTCCCACTGGAGAGCTGGGCTTGAACCTTGTTTGTCTGAAAAATGTCATCCTTTTTCACTTCGGAGAAGTCCCCTTGGCATAATTTCTATTGGACTGGGGGAACGATAAGAAAAAAGCTCTCATACAGAGCAGTTTGGAGAGTCCTCTGAGGGTGCTTGGCACTGGTTCTCAGCAGAGGGTAGCT